GTGCCTGTGAAGGTTTTCACCAATAAGACTCTCTCATTTTGTTCTTTTCTTCTTATTTCCTCCGATTCTACAGATGACAAGGCATTACCCATAGTAAAACATCATATACCCTTGGCATGCCTTAACTCAGCACTCTCAAAGATTATCCGGGAGGGCTTTCTTGGACTGTAATGTGGCTTTTGGACAGGATTAGAAAGAAAGAATATCATAAAGGCTCAAAGAAACTATGACAACGAGGTTAATTTATTTTCAACTTTTGGAATCTATTCTAAAACTTTGCCCCAATTTCTAAAGCAGCGGAATTTGAATTTATTTTTCCCTCTCTTTTTTTCTTCTTTTTTTTTGGGATTTTCCACTCTCGACTTCGTGGGATTATAAAATATTTTATTTGGTAAGACCGAACCGTGAGGTTGCCTACGTATCTTGTGGTGAGAAGAATCAGGTCAAACGTAGTTCACGAGACTACTTTTTGTTACTATTTTCCCTTTTTTTCTTTTTTTTTTCTTTATCTCTATTTTCCCATTTTTTTGAATCTTACTTTTGGAATGAACTTCTAAAATAAACCTATGGGGGCATGAACTTTTTTTCTTTTTTCGTATGACTCTAACTTGATTCCAAAAGAGGGAAGGTCAAAGAAATCAGTACATGCTCAAAAAGGGTATCGAATGGTATAAGTGTTTGGGTAGCTGAAAGAGGGCCTCCCAATCCCTGAAAATGCCAAATACAACACATGCAACTTGAAATGAAAAAGGAATAGCACGCACAATATTTCTTTTACAGCTTTGACATTAATATCAGTGATATACCTTCCACACTTTTTTTAGTGCCTTGTCAAGTACAGAACCCTTGTTGGGTGATTCCCTCTTCACAATGGATATTCTCCGTCGATTCTGAGACAACTTTGTTGACTTTATCTTGTTACTTGAGGTACATTTGAACTCAAAGTTGTTTGCTTCAAACTGTCTAGGATGCACTCTCCTTTAACGAATTCTTGTCACCCTATTAACTTTCCCAATTATCTGCCCCAGTTTCACACAGTTCGGGCTTCAAATGATCTCGAAATTCCTTTACTTATTTCCCTCAAATGTCCCTATAATCTTCACAATTGTTTTATTGCTTTATGATTAAACTAACCTTTAAAACCAGGCCTAGAATTATGCGTGCATGTCTTGTCACCAGAACCAGCATGAAGAGAACTATAAAAAGAGAAGAGAGCTAAACAGAAATGACTAGAAATAATAGAAAATAGAAAACTGTATTAGACAAACGGTGAAGGGGTTTGAACAACAAAACAAGCACTAAACTGGGGTTACAACCCTGGAACAAACCTAGACAGCACTAAACGAGTTACTACGACTAAACAAACCAGGAAAAATAAAAGGATAGAAGGGTTTGAGCCACAAGACAATATCTGGGTTACAACCCTGAAATAAATCGGACAACAGAAATGACAACAAAATAAACCACCAATACTCCTCCCCGGTTAACCAAGAAAGGATCATTTTTCCAATCACCAAGCTCAACATCTTAGCCACTGAATTCTGCATCAATAATACTAGGACTTTCACAAGTCTTTATCACATTGTTCTTAACAAATTGCTTTTGGGTTCCCTTTATTGGCTCATTCTTAATATCAACCTCTGATAGCACTGAAATCTTTGCAGCGCGTGGACCTTCGAGGATCTTAGAAGAATTCTCATATTCCTTTTCAAAACAAATCATACTCACCATATGCGTCTCATTACGAATAGGCGATAGACTTTGGCTAGTGTCTGCTACATCTGGATTTTGCACGACAATGTCACCTGCATCAATAAGCTTCTGAATTGCATTTTTCAGGTGCCAACACTTTTCTGTATTGTGACCCGGGGCATCGGAGCAATATGCGTACCTTTGAGAAAAATCAAACTTCTTTGGCAAAGGGTTTGGTATTTTTATCTGAATCGGCTTCAACATGTCCAATTGCCTCGACCTTTGGAACAAACTGGTATATGATTCTCCAATAGGGGTGAAAGCCTTTTCTTTTTTCAGTAGTCTTTCCAATTTGTATTCTGGCCTCGGTTGGAACTTGGCTAGGTGGCTTATATGCTTGAGGGGGCGGGTAAGACATTTGGGGAAATGGTGCGGGCCATCGCAGGCCTCGTGAGTGTGGAGCATATGGTGGTGCATTGTGGATAGGGTACTAGGAAAGTGATGTACGACTTTGGGGGTTCTGTGGAGAGAAGTAGCATTGGGGAGGATCATCTGGTGCACAAGGATATCCATGGGGTCGATGTCGAGGCTGAAAGCGTTGAGCAGGAATGCCCAGCGGATCATCTTTTGTATTTCTCTTTCTTACACCCAAACTTACTAGGATGTTCTGAATGTCTTTCGTAGTATCTTTCAATGCCGAATAACTCATGATTTTACCTGACTTGATTCCCTCTTCTACCATCTCCACCATTTTTACCACATCGTTGAAAGGTTTACCCAAGGTCAGAATCAAATGACTGAAGTAGGTGGGCCCTTGAGCTTGTAGGAAAAGCTCAACCATTTCTTCTTCACCAATCGGGGGGCTGACTCGAGCAGCTTGCTCCCTCTATCTGAGCCCAAACTCCCTAAAGCTTTCTGCCTCCGGTTTCTTTTCCATCTTAGATAGAGAGGAGCGGTCTGGGGTAATGTCTAATTTGTATTGAAAGTGTCGAACAAAATCTTGAGCCATGTCGCCCAATGGATGTTACTTACTGACATCTTGATGATTATGTCATTACAAAGCTGCCCCAGTCAAGCTCTCACTGAAATACGCCATCAACTAATCATCTTTCTCGCCAACACTTCTCATTTCCCTGCAATAACCCCTTAGATAGGCTACCAGATCTCCACGCTCCTCATACAAATTGAACTTTGGCACTTTAAACCCCGCAGGCAGGTGAACATCAGGGAACATATGAATCTGATTTCTCATCCCTTGCATGCTCCTTAAGAACTGTTCTATACCTTTCAGCTTCCTAGATATTTCATCTCGCCCTTATTTTCCTATGACCTTTTCATTTTCAGCATGAGGCTCATTTCGAGGGCTCTGCTTGTACGAGTCAAGAACCTTGTGGGCAACCTCTGAGGGGTAATATTGGGCATTATGAGCTTTGAGTAGGTATTCATTGTTGGGGATAGTGGATATGACAGGAGGGCAATTTTGGGGAAAGGTAATTGGAGGACGAGTGATGGAGCTACTAGGGTGGTTGGGAAAGCTGTGATAAGCAGGTGGATCTGGAGAGTATGGGGGATCATCTAGCACTATGACCGAAGTTTGGGTAAGGGTAGCATCTAAGAAGCTAGGTGGTGCCTTCCCAGTCATCCAAGCCTGATACATGTCCGCCATGTGTTGTCTTAACATCCTTACCTGTTCAACCAACCCATTGTCCTGTTCAACCAATTGCTTTTGGGCACCCGTATCAACCAACTCAGTTCTGTTGTCATCTGACATTGCCTTTCAACTTTATGTTGTAGAGAAAAGTTACCACTTTAAGAACCACAAACCAACCACCCTTCTGATTTACAACAAAAGGAACAAAATGAGGTCATCATGTTAACGTTAGGGTATTTAACAGCTAAAATATCACATTGCGTGCAATGCACCTAGAAACAATTAATGGTTGTAGAATGACTTCTAGGGTCACAAGGTCACTTGGCATCATCCCAATTTTGTTCATTTCAATCCTCTCTTTTCTTTTCTTTTCTAGCACTTCTTGGCTTGCTCATTTTCCTTCCTTTTTTCTTTCTGATTGTTTCTCTTTTCTTTCCTCTCATTTCTCACGTCCCATTACTTCACCTTTTCTCTCTCTCTCTCTTTTTTCCTTTTTCTTTTAATAAATGAAAAAAATGATTCGATCGAACCCTATGTAGGTTGTCTACGTATCATGGCCCGCATAAATAAGATCTTTTCGTAATTCGAGAAGATCGGGAATAAAGTAAACAAACTAACATTCTCATTTCTTTTCTTTTCCTTTTCTTTTTTTTACCTTAATGACTACTCTGATGAGAAAAGAGAAATAAAAGAAGCAAATCCTTTTTTTGTTAAATTTTCTAGACTTAATATTCCATATCCTATTCTAAACTCAATCTTATACGAGCAAGAAAGATTTCAAACCAAGAAATGAAAAAGATAAAAAAAATGTTTTTCGATTTCAGTTTGATTACCTAAGGGAGAAACTCTGAAAATAAACCAAAGATAAAGTATGTTGTTTTCTTTTTCTTCTATGTACAATGTCCTAGAGTTTTAGTAAAAATAAAAGAACTTTTTTTAAGTCATTGTTCATCAATTTCCCAAAGAAAAACCTCAAAAGAAAATCTTTTTGGATTTTTGGAATTAATATCTTAAAAGAAAACTTTAAAAGATGTACTAAAGAAAATTCTCTTTTTTTAAATTTTTGGTCGTAATATACTAAAAGGAAATATAAAAGCAATATTAATTCAATAAAGGAAAACCACCTCAAATGATTTTTTTTATTCCTAGAATTAGTATTCTAAAGAAAACTTCTAACGGAAATATAAAATCCCAGTTGCTGCAGTGCCTCAGTCAACTTGAGATTCCACTACCTTGGTGCTTGTTTCAAACCATACAATGATTTTTGTAGTTTGCAGACTTGTTTGGTCTCCCCCTGTCTAGCAAACCCTTCTGGAATAGTCATATAGACTTCCTCCAAAAGATCACCTTGCAAAAAAACATTGTGAACATCCATTTGATAGATGAACCAATGTCTTGAAGCTGCCACAACTAATATTGATCTAACAGTGACCATTTTAGCTACTGAAGAGAAGGTTTCTTTGTAGTCTAATCCTGCTTGTTGACTATAACCCTTGGCTACCATTCTTGCCTTATATCTCTCGACTTCTCTTGAAGATTTATATTTGACTTTGAATACCCATTTGCAACCAATAGGGGTCTTTCCCTCAGGTAGATCAACAATGCTCCAAGTGTTATTGTCTTCTAGTGCTGCAATTTCCAGTTTCATAGCTTCAATCTACTTTGGATCTGCACCTGCTTCTTTGTAACTAGCAGGCTCAACAATAGATGAATAGGAGTTTAAGGCAGTCTTATAAGGTGGGGTTAGATGTTCATAACAGATATAAGATGACAAGGGGTAGGCACAATTGGATTTTTTAGTAGTGACAAAGTCTTGCATCCACAGAGGTTGTTTGACAATTCTAGAGAATTTTCTAAGTGTTTCAGATTGTTGAGGTTCAGTGATAGGTATTGAACTGATGCTAGATGTATTAGTTACTGTGATGTTAGGTGTGACTGGATGTAAGGAATGATCTGTATTGGTGGATGGATTTAAAGTTGTAGGGTTTTCTGTAGCTAAGTCTTCTTGTATAGTTTGAGAGGTTATTGTATTGTTATGAGTGGTGTTTAGAATATTTCTTGGTGGATCAGATGTAGATTCTAGTAATGGAAACAGGGGAAGAGTAGAAGGAGTGAAGTGTCTAAAAGGAAATAGGTCTTCTCTGAACACCACATTCCTGCTCACAAAGAATGACTTAGCATGTAGATCATAGAGTTTGTACCCTTTTTGAGTAGAAGAATATCCCATTAAGGCAGCAGGAATGGCTCTAGGTGACATCTTATTAGTAATATTGGGGTTTGATGCATAGGCAAGACAACCAAAATTTTTTAAATAATCAAAATTAGGAGGATGTGAATGTAGCATTTCAAAAGAAGATTTATACTGTAAGATGACAGAAGGTAACCTGTTAAGCAGATAAACAGTAGTAGCAACACACTCTTCCTAAAATTTCAGAGGCACAACTCCTTGAAACCTTAAGGATCTGGCTACATTTAGAATAGATCTGTGCTTCCTCTATACTACACCATTTTGCTGAGGTGTATAAACACAAGAGCTTTGGTGTACAATACCATTTTATTTAATCAACTCATCAAACTGAGAGTTAAAGAACTCACAGCCATTGTCTGTTCTTAATGTTTGAACATTAGAGTTGAACATATTCTTCACTAAAGTTAGAAACTGCTACACAATGACAAAAGTTTCAGTTTTATTATTCAATAGAAATATCCAAGTATACCTAGAAAAGTCATCCACCAATATTAGGAAATATCTCTTACCATCATGTGTAGGTACTCTATAAGGACCCCATACATCACAATGTACTAGCTGAAAGGCTTATTTGAACTAGTAGTGCTGATAGGAAATGAAAGTCTAGATTGTTTCCCTAGTGGACATATAGTACAGTGATGATTTTTGTCTAGTTTTCAATGCTTCAAAAACTTTATTTTCCTGAGCATATCTAAAGGAGCATGCCCTAGTCAATTATGCCATACATATAGTGGCACATTAATAGACACAGAGTAGCACTCTTCTTTACTGTCAGACTCTTGTAGTTGTGGTTGAGTAAGTTGTGTTGTAGGAGTTGGAGATGACTTTAGATAGTACAATCCACATACTAATGAAAAATTGGTCTATGGTAACAGTTGAAAAATCGTTCCCACAGACTTCCAAACCATTGCCATAGGGATATTGGTACGGTTTAAAGACCGTCACATCAGCGGCGTACCCATAGGCCTACTGGAACGGGTCTTGCAACGGTTTGCATTGCCGTGACAATAGATACGTCTATCACAACCCTTTCTCTGTTGGAACGGTTCAAAACCGTTACTGTATTGTTTATATAACGGTTTTTAACCGTTACCATATTATTTAAAGCAACACTTATGTAAGCTATTGCTACGATTATGTTGGATATAGCCACAGTTTCTTTAGGCTATCGTAACGGTTATATTTGTATTTGGAACAGTTTATGGAACCTATTGCAACAGTTTACATTGTCTACTAGAACGTCATGTGTGTCCTATTGTAATAGTTCTGGTAGGCTATTGTATCAATTCAGTTAAAACCAAAATATAGCACCTGTTATAAATAAATATTTATACATATAATAAATTATAATAACACTAAAATTTAAATACATCATAAAATGAAACTATTAATAATACAAATTTATCCATCAAGCAAATAATATCCATAAAGCAAATGTTCTACCCTATGAGTGCATAAGTTTAGTACATTTCAAGAGAGTAAATAAGTTTCAAAAATGTGGGTAACAAAAGATTCCTAGAACATTCATCTATAACAATACAAAATTCATTTCAAGTAAGGTCTAGTTCTTCATCGTCTTCATCATTCATTTCTTGATCTACTCCACCTACAAAAGAGGATAAGTAAAGTTATTACCCTTCAACAGAATTCGGTATAAGAATACACATTTAACTGTTTTCGATCTTCTTTTAGTAATCCAACTTATTCATCTCAACAAACTATACGCAACATTATAACAATCTGATATTATCACCGAGGACTAAAACTTTCAAGCTATCAAGCTATGATGGCAAAGTAAATAATAATGCATAAGAAATATAATTACAAAACCAGCACGAAACATCAACTACCTTAAATATCTCTGTCAACAAAACTACACATGTAACATGCCTAGCTGCTCAAAGAACACCACTACCTTTTGTCTTTTTCTTTTATTGAGAAATATGTTGTATATTACTTCTTGAGTAAACAACATGTATATGCAATTTAGCTTAGCTATCCATGACAAAGAAAATGAATCAACACGGATATGTTAGAAAAATGAAAGGAATTGAAGATAAAGAAGAAAAAGAATGTGTGGCCATCACAGGGTTAAATGATTATCTTTTGCAAGTGAGTTGATATGTAATTTATGCTGAATGAAAATAAAATCATTGAACCTATTCCTAATACGAAAGACTACTGCCATGAAGTAAGAAAACTGACGAAGCTGGGAGGATCACTTAAATTTGATTTTTTAAAAATAAAGAAAGCCAAACATGAAAAAGCCAACTCAAGTATATATTGTCCAAACGCCTGCTTAATCAGTCATGAACTATATAACCAAATAAAATCATAGAGCAAAGAGGTAACGTTTACTTAACTTGAAATTAAAGAGGATTTACAGTTTAGGAAAATTAGGAGACAAAATAAGGGTGGTCGTTCCTCCTATGACAACGCATGCTTCATCACTCATCAATTGTTATATTTCTCCATTCCTTGCAAATATGACACTCAACATATATATATATACACACACACACAATAAGCTAAGCTCTTACATACTACTACAATTTTTTCAGAAATTAAAATCAAACACAATATTAAAATGATCAATGGAACAACAACAATAGCATGACAGGTAGCACATCTTATCAGGAAGATCAAAGACCTAGGAGTTCGTGGGAATTTTGTCTTTCAGCATTGCTACAGAGAAGTCAATTCCATAACTTTGTCTTAAGCATCAACCTGTCTATCTATTCCAATTTAAATTCTTAAAAATCTACTATCATAGAACTGCCAGTATTTCTCGGGTATTATTACTATACATACGAGACCATTTGGCACTTAAAAATTCATATACTCCTACTAAATAGAAAAAGGATATTACCATATCCACTCTGCCTTGAACCAAAGCAAAATTCCAAGCAAAGAAGGAGGAGAAGAAGAAATAGAACAAGATGTATAACATTTGGTACGTACTGAACTTGAGTGTTACTGCCAGCAGATGGTTGACTGTTTAGTTGAACAACAGCTTGTTGTGCAGAGGAAACATCTACAGGTGAACGTGCACTGAACCTTAACATGTCAGGATCGAGTCGCAAATCTGGGTTCAGACGCTGAAGTCGTGTGATGCCGTTCATTGTAATATTTTGTTCCATAGCATCCTTCTGTTCGTTCAACTTTTCATGCATTCTTTGTTGCATCCTCTCTTCCATTTCCTCTATTTTCTGCTGCATTCTCTCATCAGCATCTAAAGAAGATCCAAGATTCCCTTTTTGCCCTTTTAACAAAGTCTTGGTAACCCCTCGTCCGTACAATCTCACGTGACCTGGATGTTCAGGTCCCATGACGGATGCAAAAGTGTCAACTGAATGACAGCCATCTTTACTTTCCTGAGTGGATTGTATTCTCTCCATTTCAGCCTACAAACCAAATGCGAGAGAAAAGAGTTTTAAGTAACTAAAATTTAATCAATAATTAAGAACAAATAAATAATCACGACAAACTTTAAATTAGAAATTTCGTACAATTTTACTAATCGTATTGTCATATGAGCTTTTGTATACTCGGCCAAGTTTTCTTTTTCTTGTAGCCACAAAGATGTCCTTACTTGACAGAGTATCTGAAGTATCAGAGATTTCCTTCTTTTTTTCTTAGTTACATGAAAAAGGTATAAGAATCTTTCCATATAAAATTAGCAAGTTCATAATTTTAAAAAAAAATTAAGAAAGATAAAACATCAAACCTCGCGAATTAGAGCAAAAGGTGTTCTGCCAGCAGTGTGCGGACACTTCAACCTATTTCGATTCTCTGTATTGGTTTTGGATATTTTCTGCAAATAAACGAGTCAACCACTGAAGTAACTGAAACAATTAATCAGCAACCATGTTCAATTAATTAGCTTGGGTCCAAATTCAACAGCAACAAGAAAGATAACAAAGTAGTGAGGTTGATGAAGGGAGTAATAGCCTCTTAGGAGCAATGCATATTCTCTGTATAGGTTCCAAACCAAAATAACCCCTGAAGAGACCTGGACTTGATATTGGCAGTTTCTCAATTGCTTTTAAATTAGTGTGAATCCCAGAAATTATCCCACAAGAAGCCATAGCCACAGCCATTTTAGTTCAAGAAAATTAAGAAAAATAGAAGCTTTGAAATACTATATAAAAACAACGGCTAAATTAATTAATTAAAGGAATTAATTAATTAATTCCCCTTAGGGGTTATATACTTCCTTATCTCTTCAATCACAAAGGAATTAATCAAGGGATCTTCTTTGAATGCCACAGTTCCAATTCCTTCTACTCTTGGCAGCCTAATTTGCTTAAGGGCAATTTGCGCCGAAGATAGAGGCCTAATCACTTCTTCCTCATCCGTCCATCTCAGGAGATTCATCCAACTTTTATCACCATTATCCATAGATATCCTATACGATAAAAGTAAATCAACAAAACTAATCAAAAAAACCAAAAGTATATTAATTTGACATTGATCACTGCTTTTAAGGGTGAAACTCAGAAAGTCACAAACACTAAAGCAATTTAAGACCTTTAAAAATTAACTTCTTAAAAATCATCTCTTATAATATGAATAGGAAAGATGTGATTAAGTTATTATACTTTTCAAAGAATGTGTAGAGTCATCTTTTAAAAATAAAAACCATTAAGTTCCTTGTGGATGTCAAGTAAGTTATTAGAAAATGTATATCTTCAGAAAATTGCAGTCAAGGAAAACACTTTTAGCCCACACTTTTTGTTTCAGAGAAGATTACACAAGAAAAACCAGTTTCTTTTAAAGCTCCTAGAGGTGAATTTCCTAGACTCAGCTCTTGTTGGAAAAAAATCCCAACTAAGAGCTTACGAGTCGTCATTGGTTTTTGATAGTTTGACTAGTAATATTTATCTGTCACCAGAGATGGTACACATCTTGTTCTCCAAAATTGAATAGAATGAGCGAGACATTTGATTCATCTACTTTAACAGTTTTCTTTTGCAAATCCATTGTATATCCATCTATTTGGTTTTAACTTTTAACAAAGAATTGAAAGGTATTTTTAGAAACTAAGGGTGATTACTCTAGACAATGTGGAACAAATTCAGTTTGAATATTTACAAATTTGATGAGAAGTAGATGTTCAGTTTACAACAGACTACTATAGCGTTATACTCAGCAACCAAATAAATGGATACCCGTATTCTAGTACACCATAATGTAGACACAATAAGTTGGATACATTTCGATGTTACAAAGAATCTAAGTTTCTGCAATATTTCAAATGAAATAGTGCAAGGGTTACATATAACACTACTGCAAGTTAGAAAGCGTGGGAAACATGAGATTTTCACGTTGCTATTCCCTTCAAAAATATAAATTTATCACAAATAATGTGTTTGAACTGTTAAGTTTTGTGGAGAAGCTATAGCTACAATGTGATGCCAAAAAGAACACTTCCAAAATCAAGAATTTCAACTATCAAAGGAGATGCCATTTGGAGTTCCATGGCTGCATAATAAAAATGGATCAAAACACAAATACGATCACCTAATCGACACCAAAAATCACTTTTAAACAAAGAACTAAAAATACAGAACCCAAAAGACTACAACATGAATTAAGAACCTTTTTTCCAAGAACTAAAAAACACAGTAAAAACGTATAGAATTGGTAACAAAAACAGTAAAAATGACCAAAAGAATTAAGAAAATTACCAGGCTATGGTGATTTTGGGCTTCTCTGATTCGAGCACAAATCTGATTTTAGAATTTGGGGATTTGGGGAAAGAGTGCTGGAGAAGCAACTGTCCTTGAAGAAGTACCGGAGAAGTGCCGGAAAATCGACGGAATTGTCTTTCAGATTTTCCGGAAAGACCCCGGCTGTCCTCACGATTTTGGGCTTGGGAACTCTAGGGTTTGATGATTATGGAGGTCTAATGAAGAGTTATTTGATGAAACTCAGCCATTAATCTTAAATTCGACAAATATGCAAAAACAAAAGAGATTAGAGAGGGGATTTTTGGTGTATCGACGAGGGGAATTTGGGTGTTCGACGATGGGAGTTTGGATATAGTACTAGGGAGTAGTTTTGGGTGTATCGATGGGCGGAGGGGTTTTTGTA